TATCTCAAATCAGATTTATGATCGATTTAAAAGAATAAAATATATTGTCAGCACATCTAATTTTTAATCCTAAGAATCTCAAATATCTGTCTTAAGAAACACTATATAATAAAGCTAAAATTCTTGTGAATAAGCAGATTCCCAACTATAGTTGAGTAATTACTATATTTTTAGCCGTTTAGGCCGATTTTTAGTAGTGTAAAAAATCGGTTAACCAAGTTTTTAGCCGAAAGCTCTCATTTTGACCTCAAGGATCAACTCAAGTTTGAAAGAAACTAATATAAATTAAAACGCCTTAAGGTTAATATATTTTTGTCCGGCAGGCGCCTGAAGATTGAGCTAAATAACTGACATTTAGCCCTTACTCAACTATATTCCTTATAAAATTATTAATTTCCTTACTACATTTAATAAAGAAATAAATAAATGTAAAACATTAAAGATTTAACAAGGTTTATATTGATTGAAAAGAATATTGATGAACGTCGAAATCGCATCTACTTCGAAGTTCTATCTTACAAATGTAATGAGCTGAGTAATTTAGTTTGGTTATTATATTAGTTACGCCTAAGCTCTTCATATAGATATAATATTCAATAATTTTGCATCAACTTAGAGATATCGAAAAACTATTTTAAATTTATTAAATATCATTTTAATTTTCTTCCTTTGAATTATTATTGTTAATTATGTAATTACTTTTATATATTTGCAATAATTTAATGAAATTAAATTATATTTAGCTTAATCTATATTATATATTAATAAAAATAATAATTAAGATAAGGGCCTCAAGGAAAATTTTAGCGAAATACCCCGAGATTGTTATGCCATTGGTTGTTTGTGCCAATGCTATGTATCATAGATAGGTGTAGTTTAGCGATTATTATCAAAATTTTGGATTAAGGAGCCGGCGGAATTTTTTTTCATTTTTATTCTTCTAAATTTTTATTAAATTTCGGATTAATTTATAATTTAAATAATTAATTTTAGAATTTTTTTAATTTACCAATTCTAATAATATTATATAGTTCTCACGTGATTTAATTTCTTATGTAAATTTGGATTTAAAGAATATAAATCATTTTAGTCTAAATCAAAATAATATCAATCATATACTACTTTACATTAACCTCTCTCCCAATAAAAATATATTTTTAGTTATAAAATACAATTATTATTAAAAAAGTATCAATCAAATTATAGGGTGTTTTTTTTAAAATTTGCACTCCCTGAGAAAATTATTGAAGTAAAGATAGATAGAACCAAATAATAACCAAGCGATATCAACCGAGTAATAAGGGGATTAATAAAAATGAGTAGAATTTCGATCTTCAAAACACATATATGTGTTCCATTATAACTTTTTTTGTCAAACAACGTATTAGGGATGGTAAAATATCTTTTTTATTAATTTTGAGGAATTTAATTATAATTTTAGATGAATATTTTAAAAAGATATTGGAAATTTTAAGTATGTAATGATATCAATTTTGTAACTATAGACCGGGACCTTGTCGAGTCTCAATAGTATAGTAAAATTATACTCCTGATATTATTGTATATGTAATAACTACAAGTATTAATTATTTTAAATTTATGGTCTTCTAACTGAAGAAACTATAATTTTTAACATGTTAGATCAGGTATAATTATTTTTGGATTTAGAGGGATATGTTAAGTTAAATGTAAGAAAATTTGGATAAGACCAAATGCTTATATACTTGTCATTCATAGGCGTAGCCAGAATTTTTCTATGGGGGGGGGGGGATTAATAAATTTCTTTCGGCTCGCTTTCTTAGTCTATATATAGTTATAAAATATGTTTACAAAATGGGAGGTTAATTTTAGTAAAAAAATATTTTATTTAAAATATACAAAATTGGTTAAGAGATTATATCAAAAAATAAGTCTGGAACAAATAGGAAATATATTTTTATTAGCTTATACAAAATATAATAAGTTACATATACATATATATACATTAATACAAAAACGTGGTAGATTTTGCGAGGTAGTATTTCGCAAATATATTTTTAGCCTTCGGAAATTCGAGAAAGTTCTTTCATTAATACATGTCATAATATGGAGGCATGCTAAATTTTAAAATAATTTTGATGTTTGGAAAGTTTATTAATTTGTGTTTACAAACATTGAGTGCACTTAGTGCATTCTCAGACTTAATGTCCATTCTTTTTAAGCTTGCATACCAATATTATAATTCAAATTACTTCCAATTATCTTGCAAATAAAACGTATATAAATAGTGAATTTTATCTCTAATCTCATCCGAGATGCTCACTGATGGATTAGAGGATAACAAAATTTGAAAGTTATTGCAACAGTTTATGCTTCAATAAGCGTTCTCTAATTTGAGTTAAAAATGTATCCATAAGTGATAAAATCGTAATTTAGTAGGGGAGACCGGGGATGGTTGGGACACTTTTCGTTCAAACCTTAATAATTTTAATATTAATAGACTAATCTGAATAATTAAAACATCTTCTGAATCCCAGAAGTATAGGCTATTTGAAATAATTAATATATATTTTATGAAGATTATATTTTTTTAGAAAATTGAATTTAAAAAAAAAAATTTTTTTGTCCCAACTATGACAGACTCTGTGTTCGTTGGGACACACATATGTGATAGTTGGGACACTCGTGAAATAGAGGTCTAAATAAATTTAAAAATTTAAAATCAGTAATCCAGTAAGACTAGAGACTATGACACATATGATTTTATTGATAATATTGTAATTCATAATCAATAACTATATAAAAAAAATTTTAGCAAAATTTAGGAAATTTATTTTGGGGAAAAAAAAATTGTAAAGAAAAAAATGAAAAAAATTTTTTTTTTTAATCATAAACATAGCGAAAGATAAGTATTTAATTATTCATTATTCACAATACTAAATTAATAATAAAATAATAAAATTGTTTATAAAATGAGCTAAAATTGCGTGTCCCAACTATACTATGACCAACTATGACCGAGCCCACTAACTTTATAAATATCATCCAAAATCATATTAATTCATGTTTATTGATTCTGAAAGTTTGCCAGATTGGAAAATTGGGTTTAGGCTTTCCTAAAATTTATTTATTATGATTTTTGAAGCTTTATTTATAAATATAAACGATAAAGTTTGCAAATATTTTTTATTACTTTTGGTATGCCAAAACACATTTTCTTCTGTAAAAATTAAAAAACTAAATATTTTTCAAATCTTTTTTAGCCATTCATGTATGACTAAATTATCTATGTTAGGCTCAAATTTCCAGTCTTATAAAATAATAGCTCAAATTATAATTAGAATGTCCCCCTGTACTCAATGTACCCCGGTCTCCCCTAATACTCCTCAACTGATTTTGTGGAAATTTTATTCCTATGTCTTGATACAATTCTTGGCATATTTATTATCGTATTATATGAATGCACCTTTTTTTGAACCATGTTAAAAATCTTGCTATATTCACAATCAGCATTTTTTCTTAATTGTAAAATAGCATGGTAAAGTTCTTTAATTAATTACATACATATTTTTAAAATATAAGAAAATTTAACCAGATTTCAAATTTTGTACTTTTGAATGTATTATCTATAAGATAGAATTATTGATCAATAAATTATAATAAAATTTATTGCAGATCTCATCAACATAACTAAAAAAAATATAAATATAATGTTAAAATACACTACTTATTGGGACTATCTAAATGATAGGATCATTTTTCTCTAGCATAATCACTATTGTTTTATCATCAAGAGGCAAAGCTCCTTACTTAAAAGCTACATCCATGGGAAATAATAGGAGAGATAAAAAGCCCATGCCCGATTTAAAAAAAACTTGATCATGTAAGAGTTATGTTGGCTATGTTTATTTTACTTTTATTTCTCATTGTGAGATCCTAGAAATAAGCATATGATTAAATAAAATAAAAAATACCACTACAAAAACAATCACACATCAATAAACTTTATATCCAACTTTGAAAATAATCAATAACCCATTCCATATTCAACATTCATAGTACCCACTTAGGAATTATATTGTTAAATAATAATAATAAAAAGGACTGATATTGGTTGAACTAAAATTTTAAAAATTATAATTCATATGTTTAAATGAATGTAACAATATTTTATTCTGTTAGGAAATTATCGATAAGTGTATTTAAGTATAGAATTATTTTTTTCATTTACATTCTTTAAAAGATATTTTATGATTTCCATGTCAATATTTTATAATCTTCTGTAAATTATATAATTCACTACTGGTGAAAATTATTTGATTGTCAATATACTGTAAATCTACGACACATAATAGTCGACTGTTTGTATTGGGCGTTAATTTTTTTTAACTTAATTTATAATTTAATTTTATCAATAATTTATTTAAATTTTACTTATATTAAGAAAAATACATTAAAGTTATTCACTTTAAAAAAAATTATATTTGATATATTATATTATTTAGTAATTTTATGGATCTATTAATAGTAATTATAATAAATTTCACATTTGTCTTAAGACAGTTTAAAAAATATAAACTTCTATATTCTTTCTTTCTAATTATTGTTTAAGATATATGCACACATTTTTGTGTTGGGGAGGATATTTTTTATTAGCTCAAAATGATATTCACAAAAAAGTGATATATTTCTGAAGGGAAAGGGGAATTTCCCCTCGCCCACCCCCCTGACTACAACTATGTTGTCACTATTTTGAACTTTTATATTGTGCCATCCGTTTTATATATAATTATCTTATCGCATAAGTAATTTATTACTTAAATGTGTTTATATGTTGTGTTTTACCATTATAATTTATTATTTATGAAACCAACTTATTTAAGAGAATATAAAATTTCTTTTGATTAATTTTAAGTGAAAATTATTATTTTAAATGAATATTTAAATGAATATTTAGAAAGATATTATAAATTTTAAATACATACATGATAATAATAGAAAATATTTATATTCATTTTGAGATTCTGGAAACTTACAAGAAGAAAATGAGTTCAGATTCGATGAGAACAAAACCAATGAAAGTTCAAATAAAGTGAATGGTAAAGAATTAAAATTGCAAGCTCCAATAGGATATGAATATATTGATTGGAATACCAGTAATATTTATAATATATACATTATGATCAAACTATTAATCATATTTTATGGTTAAAAATAATTATAATATAACTATAATTTTTTCTAGTAATATAGTATCCTTTCCTGGAAATAATTACTTTTTTATCTTTTTCAATTTTAATAAGATGGTGAGAAAACACTTTGTATAATAATATTTTGTCTCTGAAAACGATACTATATTGACTAAAAAAAGTTATATATTAGGCAGGCAATTTTGAGATAATCCTTATTTATTTTATTTTTTTAAGGAATAAGGATAATATACTAATTTTTAAAAATTATTTTTTATATGGCATTGACATCTATTATAAGAAATGATAACCCCTCCAATCACTTCTCCAGACATAAACTACTCATCGCTGAATGAATATAAAGAGTGAGTTATTTTTTATTTATTTATTTTAACAAATTATCAGAGTTGTTGTATTATCTAGATACTGTATTTACACATAAAAATGTAGATCATTGTTAACGTATCTGTATCTAGATATTATTTTAGAGGTATCCGTATCTGTTTCTAGATAATTTTTAAGATACATTTTAATGGACCTTTATTTAACGCTTTTTTATATTATGAATAAAAATACTTGAATGCAAAATTTATTTTATTACATATGAGCATATAATTTAAATATATTAAAGAATATTAAGACAACTATAATAAAAAATTATTTATATATATATAATATATTAAAACTTATATATAAAAAAAATATACATAAATATTCATTAAATATTATGTGAGAGTTTATCAATAAACCAAACAAATTTTAATATCACAATCCATCTCAAGGAATCTGCCATTTTTATTTTCAATTGAATTGGTTAATTCCATTTTATTATAATTTTTAAAATTTATTTTAGATTAATATTTATAGTGATGAAGAGGAAGAAGTAATAATCAATGTAGCATCGGCAAATTCAGGCATTGTTTTTCCATGGCCAATTTATAGAGCATATTTTAAAATAATATCTCAAAGTAAAGAAAACAAATCTCTGATAGTAAAATTGTTATGTCTACCAAAAAATAAGAAAATTTCAGTTAGCATTACCTCAACTTGCAACATTGTAAAACATTTAAGGGCATAGATACTAAATAAATGTTTACAATTGTAATTTTAAATATTAAGAGAAAACATCAAACACTGTTGATTAAAATAAAAAAGGGGAAGGAGAATAAATCTATTAAAGAAAATTTTGTACTAGGCTCATTGTCCAATATTTTAGTTAAGACATCAGACTTGAACACAAACTACTTTAGATGATTTAATAACTGCTTTTATTATAGCTAGCATTCAGCAATTTTCAATTGTTGAAAATCCTTCATTTATAAAAATGATAAAAAACACAACACAGATTGTTGGAGTTCCTATCGCCGGTATAGCTAACATTTAAATTTGTATAATAATTAAGAACAAATTATTTAAGTAGTTTTAAGAAATGTTAATTTTTAGTTCATACATAGAAGTCACTGCACTATATATAGATCCAACAAGTAGGAAAAGAAAAAGTGTATCGTTGGCTTGTAAAATAATGACTGGTAGTCATGCATATGATAAAATAGCAAAGAATTTACAAGATATAGCAAAGAATTATTGCCTTCAAAATAAAATCTCAAAGACCATTATTGACAATGCCAAAAATTTTCTCAAAGTTTTTAGGTTTATTTTATTATGAATATAAATAAATATATAATTATTTATTATAGAGTTTTCAAGCTAATTAAAAATACTAGTGAATCCATGGATGATCTGGAAAATGAAGAAGCTGTACCAATACCAATATAAAATCTTTATACTATTGGTCAGGATTTTTAAATATCAGAATCATATAGTTTACCTAATCATCAATGTTGTGTCAATCACACATTGAATCTTGTTGCCACTATTGACGTCAATAATAAGATTGTCAATAATGATATAAATTTTGATACTCAACAACAAAAATGAATGTCGATATTTTAGTATTTTAAAGAATATCCTGATATAAAATTGTTATTCATAAAATATAACACCACAATCCCTTCAAGCGCTTAGGTAGAAAAACTTTTTAGTGTAGCTAAAAATGCCTTTACAGATAAACAAGGAAGCCTTAGATCAAAATTTTGAAAATATTTAATTACTGAAATCTAATAATTATTTATAATCATTTAATCATATATTTTCATAATTATATTATTATATTAAAATCTAAAAATCATTATTTTAGTTATATTTTGATAAATGTGATATCGAGTAAATGTTTTAGCTCATTTCATGAATTTTCACAATAGGATCCTAATTTAGGTTTATGCAATCCTTATATAAGAGTATAATAAAAATTGTGTCTGTATCTAGATAACTTTTTAGACGATGTATCTCTATCTAGATAACTTTTCAGGCGTATATCTGTCTCTGTATCTGATCCATTTAAAAGGTTATTTAAACAACTCTGCAAATTATACATTTAACACGTTTAATTTGCCCTAAATTATCCATATCGTGGTTTAAAAAAAATGATATTTATTATAAAATAAATATTAGCGGAGGTCAGGCTTAAAAGTTAAGAGTGTTTTATAGCATGTTAGTTAAATAAAGAACTATTCTAAATATGGATATATTTAAATATTTCAATTAAAAGTAAATACAAAAAATAAACAAGATAGATTAGAATATTTAGCTTGTCTGATTTTAATTTTTTACACCTGTGAGTGTAACAAAAGCGAATGTATTATAGAATTAGCACAGGCCCACGTCCCGCGAAGAAGTGTAGAAGATTTTTTCTGTTTGTAAAATTTCATGCGGTCCAAAATACAAATTGCCCAGCCTTGCCTGTAATAAATTTGTAAATCATAAATATAAACTTTCAGTATTCAAGATTTTAGAAAATTTCTAAACCGAAAAATATCGAATATATTAAATTTCAAAGCTTTCTAAAATAAAAAATGAATAATCCAATCGATTTAATACCTCAGTATCACAATCTTGAAATATTGGGGTTGAACTTTTATACAACCAAAAATTATATTTTTACTGATAAGTTAAGTCTAAACGTGACCAGATTTAATGGTTAATTTTACTTTTGTAAACGATAATATATTAAGGTTCAACTGTCCTCCTAACTTATAGTTTTACAAAAGTAAATTAAAATCATCCTTTAGACATAATATTAAATATATAAATAGGCACACATTCATATTATATATTCTTTAAAATTATATGTATTTTAAGACCTAAATATATTTTATACGAATTTTAAGAGTACCAGTTCTTACAGGAAATGAAACCTTGGAAATCATAGCAAATAGCTTCAAACCATATCTATGTTATAAAAGGAACCTTAAAGACGAAATTACAATAATCGATTCGGATCATAACTGTATCTATCTAGTAAATTCATTAAAGATTCTATCAATTTTACAACCCCAGTTTCATTAAAAGTTGTAAATATTCCTGATCAATATAATTTGGTTTAAAGCAATAAAATAAATGAGAATAAGTTGTATTCCATATTAAATCAACTGAAGATTTAACCCGACCCTCTTCTTTTTTTTTTAAAATTTTATGATGGTAGTGGCCACCTTTAGAAACGCGAAAATTCTGTAATACAATATATTTAATTTTAAATATCTCAAAAAATAATCAAGCTAAAAACATAATTTAAATTTTATTAAATAGTTCTAGAATAGCACTTTAATATGAGATAAAATTTATTTTATTGAAAATAAATCTATTACCTAAAACCGGAAATAGAAAACCAGATGGCTATTAAAAAATTGTTCCTTATTTTTTCTTCCAATTTTTTTTATAGGTAGAGATTATACTTCTATATATTTGTAAAATTCTAGATTGGGACACACACTGGTTCAAAAGATTTTGCATAAGTATATAAATATCATTTATATTTAAAATATTTTTTTAATTTTCAAAATAAATAGAAAACTTAAAATTTAGACATGTGAAAAAAATAAATGGATGAATATTCGAAATCTCTGGGTTGTGCCTAATATTTTTTTAAAAAAAATCGGACCAGGTCGGCTTAAAATTTTGAAATGAAATAAATATATTTTAAAATTTTTGCAAGAAACAAATAGCCAATTTTTTTATTTGTTTATAGAATGATCATAGCAATGCAAAACTCTTTTAAAAATAATTTCTATATCTTAATAAATTCGGGCCGGGGACAAATAATAAATTTCTGAGATAGGGCCCATATTTTTTATAAAAATTTCAGACTGTGTTTGTAAAATTATGCCTGATGAAGATCACTATGGACATTGTATAGCATTTAACATATAAGTTTAGCTGTTAAAAAAAATAATTGTAAAAATATTTATAATTTTATTAGCTAATTATTTATAATACATGAAAATCAATGGGAAATTGATATTATAATAAACATATTAATTAAATAATATCATATATTAAATAATTTAATGAATTTGAATAAAATTTGACTTTCATTTTTTCTTTTATAGAAATAAATGCATGAAATCTTTGTGTTCCGGGAATTCATTTGGCTTTTAAAAATCTATTTTCGAAATTGGTTTCCATGTTTATATTTTCAACCTTGCTGAAAAATATAATGAATCTCAGTCCCATAATTATATAAATCTATAGGTGTTGGCACATTATCATAAGGATGTTGCAGGCTTGCTCTAGCATCTAATTCAGTTGTTGAAATTAATAAATAAATTGGCTAATGAATATGTAATTTTTGCAGATAAACGGTGATGTAATATTTATCAATTACAATAACGACGGTTGCTCTTGGAATTAATTTTCAATATGACTTTATGTCAAATATAATTATTTTGTTTTATTATTTTAAATAAATTAAACTTTGAGAAATTTATGTTATAATAAACCTAATTTTCTAAATAATATTTAAAATGAAAATATATTTCTTGATTATCACAAAAATTTAATTATCAGGCAAAAATATAAAGTACATCGTGTAATCTCAGAGTTGCAAGATGAAAAATTTTAAATCTAAAAAGAATTTTTTTTACGAGACGAAGGTTCACATGGGAAAAATTTATTGAGTTTTATTATCATAGTTATTACTTTATTACTCTTTACAAAATCATATTATTTATTCCTAATACTTCCAAATTAAGGCGTTTTGTGCTATCCATTGTAGTAGGGGAGACAGGGGTAAAGCGATTGACGGGGTAACAATGTTAACGCGAATAACTTTTTAACCCTTGTGAACAAAGATTTTAAATTTGGTGTGAAGATGTATTTTTATATCTAATTTCTTACCTATGTTAATCTTTTAAAAAACTTACCTGATTTTATATATTTTGTCAAAAAACTGTTTTTTTACCCAAAAAATATAAAAATCCTTCTCTAATATATTTTGCTTTTAGTAAAATATACATATCCTCAGGATTCAAAATTTGGCACACATGTTTCTTAATGTATTAGCTATAAATTAAAATTTATCTGACATCTATAGCTATACAAGAAGTCACGCAATAACGATATTTATAATATATGTCACCTTGGGGTAAAGCTGTTATGGGTAAAACGGTTAAAATATATAATTATTCACATTAAATTTTTCATTCATTCATTTATTATAATCTTTATTGACATTGAGAAGAAGATATAAAAATGGTATTAAAAGTTCAGATCATAAACAAATATTTACAAATGAAGAAGAATCTAGATTGTGTGATTACATATTAAAAGCAAGTAGGTCATTTATGGGATTAACGCCTAAACAAGCAGTGGCCCCTACACTTTTTGAGCGAATGAAGCAGAATACCCCCATGAAAAGTACCCCCTTGAAAAGTATCCCCCCCCTTCGAAAAAATGATAATTATGACACCCATAAATTTCAAAAATAATTTTTATTGCATCAATTTTTAATATATAATATAAATAAAATGCAAAAAATATAACTTTATAAATATTATTTCTAAATTAATAATTTAGATAAATTAGGGGAAGAGAAAGGGAAAGAATTTATAATTTCATCAGTATTTAATTGTTTAAATAAAATTTTTCCCATTGATAATATGGTTAAATTATTGAGAAAAGAATCTTTCATGGTACTGCGCAGTCTTGTTTCAATTAATTTAATTTTACTCATGACTCTTTCGGCAGTACATGAGGTTGTGGGAATAATTAATAAATATTTATATAAAATTCTTAAATTAGGGAAAGCAGAAAAATTTTAAAGTAAACGATAAGGTAAAATAAATGAATAGTTTTTCCAATCTGAATCGTAAGTCCCTGAATTATCATCATCATCAGAAGAAGCTAAATAATGTATTGGTATAAATATTTTAATTAAATAAATTTACAATTCTCAGAATCTGACAAATCTTTAGATTCTTGAACCTCTAGGTCATGAGTAATAATTACATTCCCCATTTTGGCCATCTTATAAATATTTCTAAACTTCAACATTTCTTCGAAAATTTGACTTAAATTTAAATTGTAAAATTCACAGATATCCTCGATATCTTCTTTAATAATTGATTTTTCTGTCATTCCCTTTGGCGTAAAAAATGATGTTTGATGTAAAAATTTCATGGAATCATCATTAAATCTTTCGTTAAACTTCATAATAATTAAATCGAGTGCAGCATAAAACACACCTATTTTAAAGCTAAAAAAAATTTCTATATTTAATGACGAAAGTATATATACCTCTCCTTTTTGGATTGTAATGTTTGAAGTCTAGAACTTTCAAAATCAAAGTAGATTTCTCTCCTTCATAAAATCTTGCGCCTTTGAAAAAACTTCCAAAAATTCAGTGTTATTATCTATTAGATTAAAAAATAATTAAGACAATAATTTATATTATACTTCTCAAATTAATCAAGCAATCTTTTGCCAATTGAATTTGATTTATTGCATACCCTATATCCTTCGAAATGGTTTGCAATTTTGTACAAGCCAAACTTGTTATCAACAATATTTTATCCAAAACACAAAGTGATATGATAAAATCAAATTTTTCTATTCTAAAGACTATAGCACTAGCCATATTGGAAGTGGCAGGATCTTCAGAATCCTTTAAATTTGTTAAAGCTGCCCTCAAGGCATCATAAAGTTGAAAAAAATTTACAATAGCTTTATATGATGATAGCCAGCTTCTAAATATAAAAAACATTTAAAATTTAAATAAATAAGGAACTATTACCGAGTGGTATCCTTGACGCGTAGAAATCGTTGCGATTTTTTCAGATCATTACACTGAATTTTGAGTACCTCATATCTTTTTACACCATTAAAATAGACATAAATCTCATCTAGTATTCCTAGAACATTTCGAAGTTTTTTAATTGATTGGCATAATTGAACAACGATTAAATTTAATCGATGACAATAACACCAAATAAAAGATGCCTTTGGCGCCTCTGCTCTAATCAAGGCTTGCACACCATTGATTCTTACACTCATGTTTGAGGCGCCATCATAACTTTGCCCAACTAGATATTCAAGGGGTAAATTCATCGAGCCAAGTTTGGATATTACATTATGCTTTATATCGAGACCTGTGGTATTTCCCGTACAATATATGTCAATCAGTCTTTCAACAGGCTTCGGCGTCTCACTATTTTCAACATATCTTACTATCAAAGCTATTGCTTCTGATTTCGAAACATCGTATGTGCCATCAACTATGATTGAAAAGCACCTGTTAAATGTAATCTCATTTTGAATTTTTTTATAACCATATTTTTCATGGTTTCAATGAGAAGGTTTATGTTATTATATGATAATAGGTTTGAATATAATTTCGTTTTTAATCCCTTATTTTTTTATCCTTTTTTCTTTCTTCATTTTGCTGTATATACATTTTTAGTATAGGTTCAGAATCTGCAATAAGCTTAATAAGGGCCATCATATTGCCTTCTTGTTGCCTGTTCCCCCAGAAGGCTTGGTTACGAGATATTAAATAATCTAAACATCTTATTATAATTCTTATAATAGAACGGTTATTATCTACACATTCTTTCTTGTCTTTTTCTATTGTGATCTATCCATTTTTCATCTCTTATATTATGCGATTTGCAATTTTTTATTAGGCATTTGTATTTTTTTTTGGTTAATATTTTTAGGCATATTTTAAAATTGGAAAAATAATTTATGACAAGAAATCTCGGATAACAAAATTACTAAACATCGACCAAAATATCCGTCAATATATTAAATTAAATATTAAGTGTGTGGAGGGGGGGTCTTATTATTACATTTATAAACCAGAAATCACATGATCATGATGGATGTAAAAAAAGTACCCCCACTCAAATTTACTGAAGCAGTTGCTTCGGACCCCCCCCCCCCGTTGTAAGGGCCCCTGTAATCAAGTAATTAAATTATATTGTTTGTATTTGAATTGAGTATTAATTAATTTTTTATATTATATAATTGAGCATGAGCATTACTAATAAAGTTACCTAATTAATATTGAAATTTGAAATTATTTATTCAGAGAAGAAAAAAGATATAAAAAGAATTGTTTATGTGTTATTTGCAAAAAACTATAAAAATAGTCGCGAGGGCGATGAATGGTTAAAATGTACAATGTGCCTTAAATGGGCGCATTCTAAATGTGCTAATTATGAAAATTACTTTACATGTCCTTATTGTATTGATTAGTTTGTAAATAAAAATCATAAATATATCTTAAATTTGTTATATTTGTTAAATAAAAATATAAATATATGTCAAATATTATTTTAACCACTTTACCCCAGCGCTTATCCACTTTACCCTGTACCCAGGGTAAAATGGCGAAAATGAGCAGTTTGACATAACTAATCATAGCTCCTAGAATATTATAAGTAGAGGGCTACACTTTTTTTTTATCTTGTAGATGAGGGATGGGGTTTTACATTGATCTATAATTTATTGTGTTTGACTCTTGTTTAAAATTTTTATGGTAAATATGCAAAATGCCTATCGTTTTACCCCGGTCTCCCCTACAATTTGGTAAACGTATTTTTGCGTTTTTTAATATTCAAAAAAATGCAAAAAAGTCAGGGTTTTTTTTTAAGATTTTAGTTTTATTGTAAATTTTTTCTATATTGATCACTTTTTTAAAAGAAATTACTATATTTTTGTTTAATATAATATAGGATTTTGACCATAAAACTTGTCTAAAAGTGCAAGAACTCCTTGCCGAGTATTCGTCCCAGTCTAGGAATTTGTACAAATGGGGAGTATAATGTCTATCTATAAAAAAAAATTGTAAAAATAAAGCAATTATCTTTTTATAGCTATTTATGGTTTTTGTTAATAGACTTATTTTCAATAAAATAAATTTTATCATATTAAATGGCTATTCTAGAGCTATTTAAGAAAATTTAAATTTTTTAGTTTTATTACTTATTGAGATATTTAAAATTAAAAGTGTATTTTGGAATTTTCGCGTTTTTAAGATGGCCATATATCTCATGAAGTAAGCTGAGTCGGAAATTAAAATATTTTTCTAGTTCGTGTTTTTAAAAAAATCAAAGGGGGTCGAGTTGAGAATCGCTTTGGTTTATAATTATAATCAGCTGGCTATAATAATTCGAATTCTTATAATTATATTTTCATGATGAATAATCATTTAATAATATAAAGTATAGTCTAGAAACTTTCACGGAGTCTAGATCGGTTGAATGGGCACAAGATCCTTGGGAATACATAAGTTCAAGTAACGAGACTCCTAATGAAACATTAAATAGCAAATGCCTTGACGAAGAGTATGAAATCCCTACGTCTCTTGATAAGTCATTCGATAATCTTAAAAATGCTGCATACCAAAGCAAAATAATAGATTCAAATGCAAAACAGTCAAATGAGGAGGAAAGAGAAAATAAAAATCAGGGTCACCCTCCAGAACCTTGGTCAATATCCTATATGCCTGACAAAAATTTTATTACAACTGAACATTATATCGAAATTCCATATACATCTTCCTACATTGTAAAATTTTAACTATTTTTTTTCAAAAGGCGTAAGTTTTATTTTATTTTTAAATCAATGTTGGTGGTTTAATTTAATTTTATTAATAATGTTTAATTAAGAGTCAAATATCATTGTGAGATGGTAAACCTCATATCTAGAATTTATCTATGAGATGACGAGTGTGAAAAAATAAAATTTTATTTTTGAAAAATGTTTTTTGTCTTAGCAAATTGCATATTATATTATAAGATAAAGAGATAAATACAAGCAATAAGTAAGCATATTATAATTTTTAAAATATTAAATTAATATTTTAATAAAATGTCTTTTTTATTTATACATTTAGAAAAATTTAGGCTAAATTTATTTTTTTTAAAAATATTTTTATTTTTACGGAGTTTAACAAGAACATTTGGGAATAAGTATATTCAAAAACGAATACAAATCGAATAATTCGATTTCTATTTTGAATTATAATATAGATTTGATGCATATGTAGATGCAAATGCATAGGTAACAAATGATGAGTTATAAATTATTTTCATGCGCAAAGTTCCCATTTCTCCTTTTACAAATGTCTTTGAAATTAAATTACTGGATATATTCAATACTAGTTATATAAAGCTTCTTTTAATCAATAATAAATTTTATAATCTTTTTATATAACAATATTCAAAATAGTTAAATTAAAATAAATTAATATTATGTTTCTTTTAATCTAATAATAAATGTTGTTATCTTTTAATGTATCTGTTGTGATAATTAGAATAGTATTATTTTGTTTGCATTTAATTAAATAGTTTTGTTTATATTTTGAATAGTTACATAAAATAATTTTTTTTTATATTTAAAGTTGAATATTTAGAGTTGATGTAAAATTTGAATATGTATACGACGAGATTATATGATGTAAATTTTAGTAATATAAATATAGCTATAAAAAATGTAATATTAAGAAAAAATTTTTATAATTTTTAGTTTGACTTTGATTTTATATTTTAGTTTGATGTTATATTTTTGTTTGATTTTATATTTTTACGTTTTAGTTTAATAAATTAAATGTACATCTTCAATTCGTGTTCATATTAAATATTCAACTTCTAATATTAATGTTAGATATAATTTAGAGAATACAAATAAAATAGAATAAATAAAATTAAATACTAATTACTTTATTAAATAATATTAATTGTAATTTAATAAATTATAAATAACATAAAAGGAAGTAGTAACAAGAATTAAAGTCTACGAAAATTTATAAAAATTTCTTCTTTTTCTATATTTATACTAATAAAATTCATATAATCTCGTCATATTCATATTCAAATTTTACATGAACTCTAAATATTTAACTTTATATATAAAAAATACTATTTTCCGTAACTATAAACAACTATTTAATTAAATGCAAATACAAATAATAACATTCTAATTATTACAACACCCTTCCACTTATGTTGGATCCACCCTTCTGCGAATGAACCTTTCTTCGATTTCGACTTAGTCTTGTATCCCCACCAAATCTATTCTTCTTAATCTTTAATGTATTCTAATTTATAACTACAGTTGTCCTTTGCCTAGTTCTCTTAGTTTCTAACAACCGTTCGTGTCCGATTACAGCTTAAACATTGAGTTTTCCCCATCTTTCGCGAAGGCATCTCTTTTGTCTCATAATGTTTACGATCGATAACGCTCTTTTGTAGCGATTTTGGCTTTTGTCACGATCCTAACGGTACCAATCTCTTGTAACCTTAATCATTCTTTGTAATCAAGATCTCTTATACAATAACGATTTCTTGTATTAAAAATAAAAATCCGATCTCTAAATGAGCTCGATTGCGACATGATTTTTCTAATGATGAAAGCCGTTTCTCTTTATGATGATTTTGATTAATCAACAACCTAATATTTTGCTAAATATTATCAACTAAATTCACCGTTAAACGTATATCTTTAATAATAAAGAATTTCTTAGAGCTAAAACGATCACTCGTACGTATAAAGATCTCTTGTGACGAATTCCTTTTAATTATCACGATCTCTTGAGACTAAAACGACTAATTCTATATTTTTTTGAACTACGACCATTTGCCTGAATATTGATACCATTGTTTCTTTGCTCTCATTCTTTATCGTGTCGATGGTCATTTCATACATCCCCTTCCACCTTTATTTAGAATTTCTTTTCAGAGTTAATTAGACTGAAGGTTTAGGCGAATCATAGCATATAAGGCACCAATGTTAGATATGAGAATTTAGAGAATGCAAAAAAAAATAGAATAAATAAAATTAAATACTAATTACTTATTAAATAATATTAATTGTAATTTAATAAATTATAAATTAACATAAAAGGAAAAAGTAACAAAAGGCAAAATAAAAATTAAAGTCAACTTAAATTTAAAAAAATTTCTTCTTCATATAACATTTTTTTTCTTCTATATTTATACTAATAAAATTCATATAATCTCGTCATATTCATATTTAAATTTTACATGAACTCATTTAACTTTATATATAAAAAAAACTATTTTCCATAACTATTCAAAATTTATTTAAATAACTATTTAATTAAATGCAAATACAAATACAAATAATAACATTCTAATTATTACAATAGTATCTATATTCAAAGTAGTTAGATTTTTAAAAAATATGGTAATATATATTTAATCCGCAAGGTAATATTTATTATTTTTTATAAATAAAAATAATTTAAGAATAATGGGCAACTTATACCAGCCAAATACATTAGCGGTTTATTATAATTAGCGGAATCGAGTACAAATTATTAAACAATTAGCAATTGTATCATGCCACTTTTTAAATTTATATTAACTCTACCCGATATCTAGTGACACTTTGAACCCTAATTCTACCTAACATTAAGCCTAACCTAGTCCAAAATTACTTAAAAATAAAATTTAATAAATTGCGTTACCTTGCGAAAAAATATTTATAAATTCACAATTTAGCCTGCGTCTCAAGAAATTGGTAATTATTTTTTCGTGCTAATTTGCAAAGTTTTATTGCTTGCGAAGATATAGACATAAAAAATATCTAAAAGTCAATTAAAAACTTGAAAATTTATTGATAACTTGCCAAAAATTTGAAACATTTATAAAATTATTATCAAACTTACCATATAATTTAAATATGCATAAATAATATATACCTGAAGATTATTTAATAACTTACCAAATTTAATTTTAAATACCTACCAAATGATCTTATATTGCCAATTTTAGATACTGCTTAAAGTACTGCCAATTTCTTATTTAAAAAAATGCTTAGATAATTTTCTGTCACTTTTGCCATAATATTAATATTTATTGAATTAGTTAATTGTATTTGAATGAATAGGCTCATTATTGAACTTAAAAATATTATTTAAAACCCCGAGCTTCTTATAGTATATCTTTTTTTTTACTAATGACAGAATTTGGATTAGATTTTTAGAAAACAGTGTAGATTAATTTAATAAGACTATCATTGCCATGGTTAGATAGTGATAAGTCATCTATATATGCTGTATTAGATGAGTCAGCGGCTCTTATGGATGTTGGATCAGCTATTTGGACTATATTATCAGTGTTATTATTATAACCGTAATACTTCGATCTATAGATTTGCAGTCTAAAAGAATCTTGCAAAATTTTTGATTTATTTATTTGTCGTTTATCCCTTGCTGTATAAGCTGAAGGTATTAAAGAACTTAGTGATAAGCTTGAAACCCCGGATAACTTCAATCAATAGACTAGCCAATGTAAATAATTTCCTATAAATATTATAAAATTCTCAAAGCAAAAATACTAAAATTTTGATGTTTTGTCCCACTTTTACATAAAAATATAATCTAGATAGAGTGTAGTAAAAATACAGATTTTTACCAAATTTGAGACATTTATCTAAGAACAAAAATTTATTGGCTTTGCCTCTCGTTTCCCTTAGTAAATTTGGAAATTTATGAATATAAAAATAAATAGGCTAATTAAAATATATTATTTTTAACAAGGCCCAAATAGTCCCACTATTATTAAGAGAGACGTGAGATAGTCAGGCGTTAGTTAGTTAGATCGCGGTACCTTGATGGAGTTGTATGAGGAAAAATGTAGAATGGTCCGAATGAGCGGCGGTGTTGTGAATGTCTTGAAGTAAAAATGGAGCACCATTAATCCTCGAATCATATGACAATTAATATGAAAATATAGTGGGATCTACAAACTATAATAATTTTCAAGGTTCATTTACATTAAAATTTTTATCCAATTGTATTATTAGTTCATCAAAGATTGAACAGTGCTCTTTTTCCTTAAATAGATATAACTTGGGAAACTGGGGGAGTCGATAATTTGCCTATTAGCAATTTAATTTTATTTGCTTTATTCTCTGGATTTTAGATTCAACCACTTCCAAAGTTTAATTAGGGTCTGTAAATTATTATCAAATTATACATAGTATATTGCTGTAACAAATCTGAATAAAAATTTGATGAAATTGAAAAATCCAAATCATTTTTTTTAAATTAAATTAAATTTGTAAAAAAAATATTGAATAAAATAGGCATTTGTTTACAAAAAAATTTATATTAATTAATCTATTTATCAAAATTAGGATATATAATTATATATATATAATTGAATATTTTTTAAATTTATTTATGTAAAATTTAAATATTTTTAATAATTTCTGCAAAATTAAAAATTTTTTATCTTAATTATATATATTTTTTTATATTATTAAATTTGAATTAAAAAGACAAGGAATTATGTCATTGATAAATTTCACAATAAAATTGATGTCTAAAGCATCGTTATAGTTTTATACCAGAAAAGACATCTTACGCGGTATTTTAATAACTCTGTAAGAACTTGTACAATGTGCGGTGGAATGAAGGGTGACCCACGAAGCCAGATTGGAAAGAGTAGTATGAGAATGATTAGCTATATTTATGGGGAATCTCTGAAGGCCCAAAACAAGATGAGAGAAAGGATTGGAATAAAAGATGACGTGAGAAAATAGGTTGAGTGGTTGATTTGTACATGATGAGCGAAGGGCGAAATATAACTTGGAGAATAGATATATTGTTGGAGATACAAGTCATACTAGAATGTAATAGAGGAACATGTAAAAAATAATTTTTACCAATGGTGATCCACGGATAATAAAGAATGGGGATTGTAGAGGCTACTTACTTGGAAGATCTCGAAATATTATCGAAGAATAATAATATTTAATAACTTAAAATATATTGGGGGCTATGTTTGTTTTCATTATAATATAAAAATGAGGTTTTTTATAGAAAAATGGTAATAAATTATTACCTTGTTTTATGTATTAATTTTTTTATAAATGATTTTAAATTACATGTTTTTTTAATAAGAAATGCAATGCCTGTGCTGGCGATGGTTGGAAAAGATGCTGGAGATGTTCAGGTAGAGGAACTGTCTCTTGTATATCATGTTCTGGTACAGGTAGAATTTCGACTAACTTATCTAGCAACTCTCTTGTAAAGCCTAAAAAATTTACAATTACCAACAAGAGTAAAGATTTTTGTTTCAGTTGCAGCGGGAGAGGAAGAAAAAGGTTATGCGATTTATATAACCATTTAAATTTATATATTATTTTAAAACATTACGTTTTAACTTTTTAGATGTCAAACATGTGTTGCTGATGGAAAACTAATATGTGATGCATGCAAATCCATGAAAGGCGTTAAAAATTATATCAAACTCACTATAAAATAGTATATTTTGCAGATAAAATTTCAAATTTATTCATTCATAAACTAAAATCTTATTTAAAATTAAAATAATCAACGATTGATTTATTATAGCACTAACCATGAATCGGAATTTATTTATGGAGCCGAACAATTTCCTAACTCAAACATTCCAGCCTTAGAGGGAGTTACCATATTTGAACAATGTTTTTCTAGAGTAATTAATTGGATTTTTTTTGAAATCAATTTTAACTTTATAAAATTAATTTTATATTTGTATCTTGTCATATAGCTTTTTCTTTGCAATTCAATGGCAATATTAAATAAGAATGTCACAATTATGAGTCTACAGAACATCTTTATGGTTAGTAAATTAATATTTGAAGTTAAAAATATCAATCGAAATCAGAGACCTGTAGGCCCGGCCCTAAGCCCGGCCCCCAGGCCGTATTTTAAATTATTAAAATATATTCGGGCCAGGCTGAAAATTTTTCTTTCAAAATACCCGAGCTGGGCCTAAGTTTTAAAAATTTATACATCGAATTATTATATTCGTCAATTAGATATGGTTATAATCATTATATAATTTTCCATTTTTATAAATATTAGTTTTATTTTTATAAATGCAATATATAATATAGTATATTCTCAAAATTTTAAGTACTTCCATTTTATAAATATTAGTTTTATTTTATAAATGCATCCATTTTTTTATAAATATTAGTTTTATTTTTTTTAAAAAATCCAATATAATATAGTATATTCAAAATATTATTTACTTCCATTTTTATAAATATCAGTTTTATTTTTTTTATAAATACAATTAATTTAGTATATTATCAAAATATTATTTACACAAATTTTATATAGTATCATTTTGTAATATACTAAATGTCTATTTAGAATAAAAAAAAGATAAAATATGTAATATGCTTGCTTATTAAATGATAATACTCGCTGAAAAATATGATAAAATACCGAATAGGTGAATTTTTTGTATTACCAGGTCGGATCCTAAAAAATTTTTGAAAAAAAATCCGGGCCGCCAGGTCTCTGATCGAAATAATGTTTAATTCTATAAAATGAGTCACTAGTATATTTGCATCTTATCATATTTTAAGCAGGGGCCTGGGTCTGTTTTTATTTTTGCCGTGTTCGGGTTCAAGAAAGGTTAACATTAAAAACCCTGCGAGTCAGCCCATAGTTGGGCTCAGGCCTAAAATTATTCATTTTCGTTTCTTTTAATAATAAATCATTATAATCTCTCTAGGTTTATGGGGAAGGCATTAGCGATTTATTTTATTTAACTTATTAAAATAACAGTTAATTTATATTTTTAAATAAAAATTGCAACCCGGGCCTGCTTAAAATTCGGACCGGGGAAAATAATTAGAAAGTTTGGGTTTGGCTCGGGCTTAAAGATTAATAAAAATTTCAAGCTGGATTTCAGTCTTTTAGGGCTCTATAATTTTAATTTAAAAAAATAATTTATAATAAATATCCACTTTATGCAGGATATCCTATTTAAAAGAACTTTTAACGATCTATAAAATATAATTTGCCAATTTGCGCTTAAAATAATACTACACTATAACGAACAATGAAAATATATCTAGATAATGAAAAGGAGTAATCATGATCTTATAAGTTTACTTATATTTTTTTTCCATCTAAACTTATAATTAAAATATTTTCCAATATTATCATATGCAATCTGTGATCACCTAGGTAAAGATTTCTTTCTTTAAAATAAATACTTTGTGGTTGGGACTGCGAGAACAAATTGTTAGTTTATAAAATTACTGGCAGTACTTATTTTATATTTTCTCAATATATAAATACATATTCTGATCAAGTCTATTTTGGTATAGAAATGTTCTTTTCTATCTATACACTTTTCGGCATATTGTTGCCGAATTTGATTTGTACAAATTCTGTTCTTTTAATTTTTCTAATTCATTATGAAATGATAAATGGAATTTTTTGTTTTATCATTAGGGTTTAATTATTTTCATTCAAAATTTCATTGCCCAAACATTGAAGTGACTGCCAAATATATTCTTCCATTTATTATATAAGAATCTGATACCAAATTTAAGGTTTCATCATCATTTTTTGAATAATTTATCCACCTTCATTCTTTGTGCTAAGTTTATCAAAAGGCGAATCAATTATTTTATTAGTAAAATACATATATTAATTCAAATCTACTAATTTATATTACAAAAATTTGAAATAATAATTGTATTGCAAATATTGATTGAGATAAATTAGTGGTAAAATGCAAAAAAATGAAGACAAACAATCATTTCTTTCTTTTATTACACATACTTATTTTTGAGCCCGAAAATTTCTGGTTAAAAAGGATTCATATATGGCTTTTGGTTCACCAAAAAATAAATCGGGTTAGGGACTCAAGGTTACAGGTTTAAACATCTGATTTAAAGGTTATGATCAGAGCATTAAAGATTTATACAGGAAAAGGTTTTTTATTTATTTTTAACACTAAAATTATATCTTAAAAATAAACCGGGTTAGGGACTCAAGGTTACAGGTTTAAACATCTGAATTAAAGGTTATGATCAGAGCATTAATTATTTATACAGGAAAAGATTTTTTATTTATTTTTAACACTAAAATTATATCCTAATATATTAAAGGTTAGCCCGATCGAAGATTTTGCCGAGGAAGAAATCAATGAAAATTCTCATCGAATTTATAATGAACATATGCAATTATCAAAATATGAGCGAATTTTACTTCAGGTGACTTAAAACATATTTATTTGGATTGGATATTAGAGAGTTTCCCATTCAAAAAAGGAAAAGTCCCAATAAAAGGAAAAGTGTCAATCATAAAAGGAAAAGGGTCAATTAAAGGAAATTGTACAATCAAAAAAGGAAAAGTCTCAAAGACTTAGGAAAAAGTCCAATCAAAAAAGGAAAAGTGTCAAACAAAAAAGGAAAAGATCCAATCAAAAAAGAGAAAGTGTCAATCAAAAAAGGAAAAGGTCTAATCAAGAAGGGAAAAGTGTCAATCAAAGGAAAGGTCTCAAAAGAAAAGGAAAAGTGGCAATCAAAAAGAAAATCGTTATTTTTTAAATAATTTTACAAAAAAATTATAAATTATCAATTTTTCTTAAATTTTTAGTTTTTTTATTTTTACATTTTATTTATTTCTAACTTTTTTCGATTTCCTTATGTCATTTTAACCTTTATTTTTCTTATCTTTTTTCAATTTATTTTTCTTCTCATTTTTGATAATTCCTTTAGTCTTTTAAAAATAATTTATTAATTTATCCTGTTATTTTTCTTCACTTCTCTACTCCATTTTATGTCATTTTTTAACAAATCTTTCCTCTTTTTTCATCCTAGTTAACAATTTTTTGACTTTTCATGATTTTTTTTCATTATAATATAATTTCATATTTTAAATTTTACTTAATTTTTATTCCTCTTTTGCAATTACATTTTTTTTATTAATATTTTTTGCATATCAAATTATCTCATTACAATTATGGTGTATATAATATGTCATAATTTTCAAAAGCTTCAGAACTATCCTGGATTATCATGGGATTTAAAGGGATCCTTGTATGAATTCAATTTTTTAAAAGATATCAGTTGGATCTACTCAACTGGAGATCAATCTCTCCCCTTAATGGGCAAGTTTAGGTCGGCAGGTCAGGAATATTTTTATCAAAACAAAATAGATATGGGTATCAAATAATAGCTAATTTAAATATCTTTTGACTGAAAGTATTCATTCTTGGTCTTGATGGGGGGGGGGGGGGAATATCGATATATTATAAAAGATAAATTAAATATCTTTTGATTGTAATATTAATTATTACTCTAAGTGAGAGGGCCGAGGGATCAGGAATCATTTTTATTTTTATCCCCTCCCAGACCAAGTCCTACCATCAGACCAAGAATGAATACTATCACTCAAAAAATATTTGAATTAGATTTTATTTGATACTCATATCGATATTTTTGTGTTGATAAAAATATTCTTGACCCCCCAAAATCTCAACCCGCCCACTTAGAGTGATAACTATTATTACAATTAAAAGATATTTTAATTACCTTTTATTTGATATCTATAACAATATTTATTTATTTTTTTACACCCCCCCCCCCAGACTATCTATCAAGATCAAGGATTAATACTTTCCGTCAAAAAATATTTAAATTAGCCATTAAATATTCCTGACCCATCAGACCTAAACTTGCCCATTAAAGAGGAGAGATTGATCTCCATTTGAATAGATCCTTTGATTATCTATCGATTGATATTCTTTAAAAAATTAAATTTTTAAAGGAATTTCTTTAAATCCAGTGATGATGCCGGATAGTTCTGATCCCTTCAAAAATTACGATATATATATACATCGTAATTGTAATGTAATGATTTGATATGCAAAAAATATTAATAAAAAAATTTGATTGCAAAAGAGAAATAAAAATTAAGTGAAATTTTAAAGATAAGAATATAAGAAAAAAATCATAAAATGTCAAACAATTGTTATGTAGTATGAAACAAGAGGTAAGAATTGTTAAAAAATGACATAAAAAATGGAGTAGAGAAGAGAAGAAAAATTAATATATTTTAAAAAGACAAAATAGATTAAAAAATGGCTTAAAGAAATCACAAAAAGTTAGAAATAAAATAAGAAGTAAAATATAAAAACTAAAAATTTAAGTTGACAAAAAAAAAATTCCTTTTTTGAATGGGAATTTTCCTTTTCTTTTGAGATTTTTCCTTTTTTGATTGAACCTTTTTCTTTTTTGTTTGACACTTTTCCTTTTTTGGTTGGACTTTTTCCCTAAGCCTTTGGGACTTTTCCTTTTTTGATCGGACCTTTTCATTTTATGAATAAGACTTTTCCTTTTTTGAATGGGAAACCCTGTAATTTGGAATTATATGCATATCTATTAAACTATATTATCTAATTCTCTTTTAAAATAAACCTAGACTAATATTGATTTAAAATTTTATCTTACAAGTTTTAACTAGCGATTTGGAGTCTTGACATTAAATTAAGAGTTAATATCAATTAAAACGTAGCCTAAAATTATTTGTTATTTTTTAATATTGTATTTATATCGACATTTAACCTTTGATGAGTATACTGGGGTATAACAATATCCCAATGAGTTTAAAATTGTTAATATGTCGAATTTGACCTGGATTTATTAATAGCCTTATTGTGCGGAGCAATGTTTCTGAAAAGTTTCATGCATTTTTAATGAATTAATTAATATATAAACATTTTTTGGATGCAAAAACGCACATTTTAACTCTTATATATTTTTTATAAATCATATTCAAATATTAATAAAATAAATGATTACTGCATGTTTTAAATAGATTTTTATAGAAAACGCATTAAATGTACTTTTTCGGTTAAAATCTTGAGTTAGCCATTTTTAATAAAAGGCTAAATCGAGCTGTTAAACAACAAAATAACAAAGCTTAATATTGAAATTTTAGTGGGATATAACATTCTTTGAAAATAGGAGGGGGTGCGCTATGCATCACACAACTACGAGCGTTATTTTCTCCACCTTATCAGTCAAAGATTATTACATAAAATATATAATTAATAATATAGCATTCCTTTTTAATATATTTAAGCGTCATTCGATAAAAGCTATACCATATACCAATGTGAAATATAGGGATAAAAGCAAAGAAAACAGGTATATATGTATTTACGGATTTAACAAGGAAATTTACAAATCTGAAACCTTGTCATATTTGAGTCCTAACTGTTTAGGATGCATTTTAAATTAAATATTTTATGTATATATATATGATGTAAGTTTACGAAATACTAAATTCAAATATGCACGTTTTAAAAAAAATTTAAAATATTTATTGTAATTATCGCTAAACTATAACAGATCATTTTACCATCTGAAAAAAACATGCATTCCAATTCAATTTAAGAAATATCTATTTAATATTCGTATATAAATATATTATGCTATTGATTATATAAAAAACGAGAAATTTGAAGAAAAAAAATCGTGTATTTTATTAGCCAATTTATATCTAACAAAATATATTTTAATATAAAATCATTTAAGTAAAATATTTAAATATTTTGTTGATTGAAATAAAATAAGCTTTATGTTTATAAAAAACATATCTTATTAATTAAATAAAAATGTAGACGTGGATTTTCGATTGGTTGTTGAGGGGAAAAAATCTATCATTTGAATGGTAGCTATCGTTTAAAATAAAAATCGGGCAAAGTAACTTCATTGTTATTATTATCGCTATTTGAATTTTTATTGGAGGGGTTTATAACGTTGAAAGGGGGTATGGATATTCTATTGGTGTTCTAAAAAATATAGTATCAAAATTGAAATGTAAAATATTTATAATACGATTTAAAAAATAATATAAATAAGTAATTGTATCCTAAACTAAGGAAGAACAAATAAAAAAAAAATCTATGGATTATATGTTGTCGAATATTATTCCCTAATAAAAAATATAAATTATTTATTTTCAGATGTGAATTCCATCTGATTTAAAAAATAACACTATAGGAAAAATGACTAGAAATAATTTTTTAAAGTATACTACCATTACCTGATATTTGAAGAAAGAAAAAAAATAAAAGTTCCCACATATTTTAATACTATTCAAGCTATTTTTTGATATTTGTCTAAATGTAAAAAATAATAATATATAGTATAACATTTTTATTATGCGAATTATTATGGGATATTTTAACGTTGGCAAATTTTTTTATGTTTCCATTGGTATCGCCATGAAGTTCGTTATAAGCATTTTTAGGGGAACCCTTTTGGTCAGGAGAATATTTCAGTTCGTTTATTTGTTTGTTTAGCCAGGATATAACTATAATATATTTTAATTATATTGAATAATAATCACATTCCTTCACTTTTCATATTTCCTACATCATTTCATCAAAACAATCATATCGAAAAAATTGTATATACCTGGGCCATGCCGGACCGAAAACTTTAAAATCCGGTCCGGGTTAGGCCGAAAAAAATCCGAGCCTGGCCGTGCAATTGGTGCCTTTGCATTCTGATATTTATAGAGCCCTATATTAAAACGCAAAAACTTTACAAACAAAAATTTATTTATTTAGAAAGAAAGAATTAGCAGAGGGTTAAAATTATGGATTTACCAGTTTCATTCAATTTAATTTTGGTATGAAGATTTTCATTTTCAACCCTATGACCATCATTTATTTTACGCAATTCATTAACTTCGTTTAGCAAACATTCTTCATGCGTCAAAATATCCGACAAACGATTATTCAAATCTTTGATAGCTTTTTCTTTTCCCTCAAGATAAGTTTCTTGCTTTAGAATTATAACGTTTTGATCTTTAAGCTTTTGTTTATTTTTAAAAAAGAAATAAAATTATATTTCCTTCGCCTAAATTTTAATATTTTTTATTAAATATTAGTGTAAGATGAAATAGGTAGATAATGACATAAAAATGCTAGATAAGACTAATAGCGATGCCAACAACCGTGGAAAATAGAGAGTAACATTATCTTACCTGGCGAAACTTGAGAAAGGGCCATTAAACGAAGAAAATAAATAAATAATAATTTAATAATAGAAAAATACCGACGGCTAGTCAAAGTAAGGATACGCACAGCTCTATTATATCTAGTAGGCATTTTAAAAAAATTGTTTTACTTTGTTTTGAAAGAATCTATTTTCCTGTTGCAATTTTTGTATAATTTCGTGCCCTTTGTCCATATCTTCTAACAATTTTTGTGAGGAATCTTGAATAAACTGAAAATCTTCTTGTCTTTTTTCGATTTGGTTGGCGAATTTATCCTAAAAACCATTATAAAATTGTGACATTATATGGGCGATTAAAATAAAAAAAATTTAAAATTCTGAGGTCTTCTCTAAATTAAAAAAATTTAACATAATATAGAATGTTTTCTTTCTTTATTCCTAATTTATTTGTTAATGCACAAAATAATGTTTAAATTTCTTACAAATAAATAAAAATTAGTCCATCCCATGAAAAACCCGAATCTAATTCAAATTTACATTGTAAAAATAATAAAAATAATTTCGCTATTTTTATTTATACTTTTTCATTTTTAGAAGTTTCATATTTATCCTGTAATCTCTTGAGAACGGTTTTCATACTTATTAGTTCCTTTTCGAGTTCTGTTATTTTGCTATCGTAATCAGACATCATTTTAGTTTTTTCGACGTTAAATATGCTCAATTGTCTTTTCAATTTCTGTGAAAATATTTTAAAAAATATTTATCATAAAACTGATATTTAAATTTTTTTATTATATATAACATTAAAAAATTAAACGATCAACATTAAACTCAACGAAACTTTCAATTATCCGCTTCTATATATATGTACGTAAGCAAGGGGGGCAACCCCCCCCCCAAGACAAAAAATCCAGATGTAGGCTAAATATATTTTAAAAATATTATTAATTCCTATATCTTATCGCATAAATATTCCAATTATATTTCTTTATCACATTAACGGCAGAAATAAATAAGCTATTAATTTATTCAATGAATTAATATCTATTTCAAATTTTTTTTGGAATTATATTTATCTACCATTTTAAAATTTCCCACCAAATCATTTAAAACTTTTTCATTACAAAACTAAAGTATAATATTTAAAAAAAATGACATCAATTTGATTGAAACTATAAGAATAGCGGAAAGCATTATATTGGAAATTAGGGCAAATGTATGTGATAAATTTCATAAATTATATGTCATTTTTGAGTCAAAAGCAGAGCTCTATGAATTTTAAATTTGTCTACCCCGACTCGTAGCAACATAAGTCCATCGCTCCAATATTAATCTTGAGTGTGTTGAAGAATATTATAAAATAAACTTATTTATCCTCCTCTTCAATATTATTCATAAGGGTTCTTGATTCATCAGGCAGCATTTACAAATCTGCAAATATTATTACTGCCGAATCTTTTCAAATATATTTCAAATCTTGCTAGAGAAAAATCTAAATATTTGACAGATTTTTATTGTGAGGATGTTAATGTATCACGTGATGCAATACTAGCTGAATGCAAACTATGGTATAAAAGGTTAGCTATGGTTGATAATGTTTTAAAAAATACTATAGATGCCCTGCATAATTTCATACCCATTTTAAACTATTTTCTTGTTATATTAAATTTATTATATATAATGGCACTCTACCCATTAGTATTTTTACCAATGAAAGACATTTTCTTCTTTAAGAAAATAAAAACATACCCGTGGAGTACTAACTCTGAAAAAAGATTGAATGGGTTAACCCTTCATAATATAGATAGGGAATTGATACCAAGCACTGATGAAATCATTGAAAAATTAGCTCTCTTCCAAGGAAGATTGAATTTCACAAGGATCCAAAACTGAAACCAATTCGGTTTGGTTCAAGTTTGAATAAAAATAACGGTTAGGGTTCGGTTCGTAAAAAATACAAATATCGGTTAGATTCAAACCTCTAAAACCGGTTTGAACACTTTTGTATTCAAACCTACTTTCGAATTATGTATATGGAAGAATTTTTTTAGTTCATCATTAAAATAGAAAACACATACATAAAACCTTCATTTTTATTAATTGCAAATTATAAAATAATTTAATTTATAAATATAACAAATAAATATTAATGATTAATTTTATTATAAACAATATTTAACTTTATTTACTTAAAATTTTTTTTATTAAGCGGCATAATTTATATATTTTCAAAATTCGTCTCACTCAAATCTATAAGATAGTATAAATTTAATTGTTGAAAAACATCTTTCCACACTAACTTGGGTAGCCGGCAATGCCAGTATGATATCAGACAATTTACATAATTCTGGGTATCGATTACTCTGATTTCTTCAATAGTCTAAAATATTCATATTTTTATTTACCCTAGTTTCTTTAGAAAAATTAACTAAAATATTTCTAATATTCTTGGATTTTTGTAACAGATTTTGTTTATAACCATCTTTTTTTAAAAAAGACTTTCTACTAAGTCCTCTTCAGATGAAGATACATTAACCGGTGTTGATTCACTTTCACAATAATCCTCCACTCTTATAGCAAATTTTAATTTCATGTTATGCCATATTTTAATAATATACTCTTTAGCCTTGGTTTTTTCTTCTTCAGTCAGAAACACTTGACATCTATTTAAATAAAAATTAAACATATCATTAAAAAAATCTTATTATTTTTTATGATTAGATAGAAAAATATATAAAGTAAAACAAAATTATTTAATTAAGGTAAATAAAATTATTAATTAAACTTATAAGATATATAATTTTTTAAAATATACCTTAAATCTAGATATAGGCATGACAAAAAGGCATTGTTGTTGTTAAAAAGTTGTTTCTCTTTAAAATTCATAGCATCTATTATTGAACCAGCAAAGGGTGAGTAAAAATAGAAATATATAATTCAGCTTTTAGCCAGAAGAGGACTGGGCAGTGAGCATAGTGGGAAAATCTCCCACGTAGCCTCGAGATTTTACAAATTTAAGGGCCTCCTTAGTAAAGAAAAAAAAAATTTTTTTTTAAAAAAACGCATAAAATCTAAATATGTTTTAATACAATTTATTTTTTAAATATTGTAAATTTAAATAATTATTAAATATTAATGTAATTATCTGATGGAATTAAGCACTATAAAAAAATTCATTCATTCATTTAAAACCATTTATTGTCTTAAAATAAATAGCCAAGTAAATATTAAAATTAATTTATGCAATATTTATTGTTATATATAGAAAACACAAAATTATTGTTATAATATAAACATTTATTGAAAGTGAAAATGAAAATAATAAACAACACAAGCAAAACCAAACCTCATAAAAATAATTATATTTATATTAAATATATATGATTAATATAAGATAAGATAGATTTTTAATAACCATTATAAGTTTTAACTCATGTTCTAAAATAACATCTGATTTTTCTCATACTCAAGCTACCAATTTAAAAAAATTAGCATGTTGTACAACGAGAGATATAACCTCTGCTACAATTTCACCAACAATATTCTTAGAAACTCCAGATTCTTCTTCACCTTTACAAGATAATACAATTTCACCAAATATTAAATATCATTTCCTTAAAATTATAATAGCATTCCTATTCTATCCCCAACTTTAAAGGAATCTTCATCTTTATATACATTACAAATACCTTCATTTTTATCTACATTACAAATACCTATATCTAAGAATTCTAATCGAATATCTGGCTTTTTATGCACAGAAGCAGCAAATTTAAAGAAAAAGATCTAACCTATTAAGTCAAATTTATTTCATTTAAATTCAAATGCAACAATTCCACGAAAACTTGCCTTTTTACAGAAACATCCAATCAAATCTGTGAACCTGAGATTAAATACATCACGTTTATATTATAGAGTAGTTATGGAAGATAAAGTACCACAAAATTGGCTTTCAGTTGCTATAATTGATCATGAAATTAAAGCTAATTACTGCTCAATTTATATAGCTTTTACTGGTTTGAAAGTTCATTTTCAAAAGGGTGCATCAATTTTAAACATATATATTCTGTTGTTGATTCATGAAAATTCAAATGTTCATATCCAAGCAGTGGAATACTTAACAACAGCATATAAGATTCATTTAATAATAAACTTATAACTGGAAACGCAAAGCAGATTTCAAATAATACTCATATAATAAAACTTATATATGAAAATGTTAAGATATTAGGGCATCAAAATATGCCATATAGAGGTTCTGATTGTAATGAAACCTTATAAAATATTGAAGATATAAATTTAAATCATGGAATTTCCTAAAACTGATACGTCACCTATCTAATTATAATCCAATCCTTTAAATAAAGCCATTCAAAGTAGCAAACATAGAAAAACTTAAACTCTCAGGCAAGTTACATTCCTAGTGAAGAGGTTCCTTAATGATATAATTCTATACATGCATAGAAAGCAAATTAAAGAACAAAAGAAATAAAATATTCAGCATGCAGATGGATAGCAGCTACAATTGATTTGCAGTACATTTATAAAGGAGAAATTACAGAAAAACTTTTTGCAGTAGTTAAAGTGACTAATTCTTCAGGTAAAAGACTTTTGATTTATTAAGTTCTTGTTTCTTTAAACTAGGGCTACAATTAAATAATATAATTGGAGAATCTTTTGATAGTGCAGATAACATGAGAAGTGAATTTGTTGGCTTGCAAGCTCAAATTAAGCAAGAAGTGCAGGCAGTATATATATATTTGGTGCTATAGTCATATTCTTAACTTATGTGTTTGTGACATGTGGTAATTTTGAGGCAAAAAATCTATTTGGATTATTAAATAGGCTTGCGACATTTTTTTAATTAATTTTATAAAAGAATGGAAGTTTGTATGAAGGTAGGTGTGAATAACCCGCTTATTGGTTCAAAATATTGGGGAAACAAGATGGTGGGCACGCGAGAAAGCAGTATTTCAGATGTTTAATGAAAAAGATGCGCTAATATCTACTACAATAAATGCCTTACATTATATATAACAAAAAATCTTGATGAAAAACGACTTCAGAAGCCGAGGCTTTATTAGAAAAGTTATGCAAATTTAAAACCCTCCTAACGGCACAATTTTTTTGAAAATTTTTGAAATAATGAGCCCCTAACAAGATATTTCAACAAAAAACTTAGACATTTTGACTGCCTGGAAAAAATTGAAGATTCTAGATTTTCTTTAAATACTATCATTTTCGTTTCAATACATATGAAAGCTATCAATATGGCATTATCTATCAATAAAGATTTGATGATACCTGATGATATATACATGGAAACTGAAATACTGCTATGTAGAATTAGTCGTAAAAAGAAGATGTGTTTTGAGGAATGCTCAGATAAACGTCCAAATGGTTCTCTTCAAATTTACAGAATTGCAGTGTTTCGCGATATCATTGATCAGATAGTAACTAGTTTTACAGAGAATTTTCGAAAAATCAACATTTAATAACTGATGCTCAATATTTCCATCCTAGAAGTTATGATGAAATTAATAGGGAAGGTATAACTAAAGAGACTTAGAACACTTCGTTAGCAAAGGTAGATAGGGATAAACTGCGAGAAGAACTAACTGAATATAGAGTAATTTACTTATTGGCTTGAAGAAGAGTACAGAAAATTTTATTTATCATAGTGACTACATGTCAGAAATTGAAAGTGAAGAATTTCAAGATTCTATGAAAGATGATTTTATAATCATATGCAATATAAAATGCAAGCAATGTTTTATGTGTATATGAGACGTTATGCCGATATAATATGCCAATTTATATATAGTATATGAAATTCACTTTATCTTTTAAATAATTAAAAATAGACTGCGAGCAAATATTGGGCAGGATTATTTAGAAGCCTTTTTAATGTAGAGAAAGGAAATTGTTAGAAGAAATAGAATTAAGTGAGATTCTTGAAAATCTGCGCAAATATTCACCATTAATGAGAAAATTGTTAAGCTAACCTTGGTGGAAATTTAACCATAATTTCAGCAAATTCTTTTCTTTCCATATGTTCAAAACCGATTTAAAAATAAACGTTTAATAATATTTTAAAGTATTTATTTTATAAGTTATTCATTCTCATTCTGCTTCTTTTTCCGTTTTGGGAGTTTACGATTTTTATAAGGTGGATCAAAACAAGTATGTTAAAAACCGATCAGAAGTAAATTTTAATACAATCACCAATATTCAGATTTTTCGATATTATTTTATTTTAGCAATATAAAAAGAAAAATTATTTCCATTTTGTCTCACTCCTAAGCTTCAATTTTTTAGGATCAAACCTTTAGTGGCAGATGCGAGATTTAGTTAAATGCTATAGATTTTGAGCTGTGCGCAACGATATATTATTATTGGATCAAGCTCACTATCAGCAGATCATTGCATTCAACAGTTTACATATTTTACTTCTTTTTTTTAAATATATTACATTTTTATATTATTATATGTTGTTTATTATAAAAATATACCATAGTTTTTATTTAATTCTTATAAATATTTTATTTTTTAGTTATATAAATATTTTGTTAACTTATTTTTTTCTTTCCATATAAATAAAAATATATATAAAACAAATTAAAATTTAGTAAATATATTTCAAGAAATAATAAGAATTATGATATAAAATTAATCCTATATAAAAAATATGTGAAGATTATGTTAAATCATTTATTTATTACAGATTGACTTATTGTTGGCCAATGAATGAATTAATTTATATAATAATCACAAAGGTTTATAAATTAAAAAGGATCAGTAATTCTTTTAAATGGATCATACATAAATATTAAAACGATAAGAATTATTTTAAATTTTAATATAGTGTAGTAGATTTCAAATAAAATCATATAATTCCCGGCCGCAGGATGGGTAAAAATAGGCTATACGCCCGCCAAGGGGCCTTTAGACTCCCAGTCCACCCCTGTTTTTGGCCATATGCTATAAAAATCCTCTAGCTGCTCAAGTTGTAAGTTCTTGGTAGCTACTTTAATTGGTTTTATTTATCATCCCTATAACTGCTTCCCACTCCAATGCTGTAAAATAAAGTTCACTGTATGATACTGATAATTCCTCACACATATCTTTTAATTCATTCAATCTCTCTAGCATGTCATAGGTTGATAACCATCTGTGATAATCCAATATAGGTCTTTTTAAGTTTAATTTTTTTAGTATGATTGATATCGATTTTGCCCTTTTGTACGAGCTTTAATAATAATATTAGAAACTGAGCAATTTTTTAATGCATGATCTACCACAAGTAGTAAGGTATGAGAAGCACATCTTATATTTATAATATTATATTGAGAATCATTAAGATTGATTGTTAATTCATCAGGTACATTATGAAATATATTTTGTATTTGCACTTCTTCATCATTTTCAGATATTTGATTGTCATATCACTATTCTTCATAAATAATTTTACCATCTTGATAAGATTTGTCCCATTGTCAGTTGTTATAGTGTTTATTTGTGGTGTTTTGATTTCATAATCATTTAATACTTTTATTAAAAGGGGTTTTAAATTTTCTGCAGTGGGCCGTTCAAAAATTTCTTTCATTGCTAATGTTATCAGAACATTTTTTTGTTTTTTGTATATACTGAAGATTAATCCCAATAATGGACCTGTCTAGGCGAGTAACACAGTCAATTTTAAGAGATAATAAGTAACCATTCTTTGATTATATTTTGCCGAATACTTAAGGCTAATTTTGCAACATTAGATAGAATATTTGAGAAATAATTTTAATATTACCCATGCCTTCTATTATAGGATCAAGAATTTTTTTAAAATCGTTATCATCGATTAATTTGAACGATCTGCCATTAAAAGTGACCAACTCAGTACAAGCATCGAATGTTATTTTTTAATTTAGTTTTACTGATATTGTTGTTTTTTATGCTTCTTCTAACGTCTGTGGTTTGATGACATCTTAAACTTTTTTATTTTATTAAGCTTTTGTTGTGATATTTTGTTAAATTTATCGAATTCTAGAGGGTGGTTTCTTTTTATGTGATGCTCAAGATTTGCTGCATGATAGCCTTTCATATTTATTTTTCAGTAATATGACATTTTGATGTGTCATTTATAATACTATATGCAAATAATTTATATATTGGATTTAATTTTTCCCTAAGCATTATATTTATAAGCTTAAAATATTTAAAAAATGTTGCAAGATGGCAATATACTAAAATTTATAAAATTTATAACTGACACTTATCAATTAAATGATCGATAATAATCTTTAAAACAATTCCAATATAATTAAAATTTTTGCAATATACTAGTAATAACTTAAATACATTAAATCATGAGGCTCGAACCGGTTCAGGGGTATTTTAGCGGATCGGTTCAGGTTCAGCTAAAAAAATCTTAAGCGGCTTAGGTTCGGTTTAGGTTCAATAAAAACACCGGTTTTTTAGCGGTTTAATGGTTCGGTTTGGGTCCCTGGAATTTCACATTATAAATTTATAATATGCTTCCTAATTATATTTCCCCCATTTCTTTAATATGCCATTTTTCCATGAATACTTTATATTTGGTTTATATATATGCAATAATTCTTAAGATAATTTTTATGCATCACACATTTCATATTTTTATCATTAATTAATATTTGAATTTGTGTATTAGAAATTTATAGTAACTAGTCCTTGAAACTTAGGACATTCTTGAATAACCCCTGGGAAAAAGTTTAATTATCCCCCTCCCTTCACAGCAAATTCCTATGTAGGCGTTTGGGCGCCCTCAAACATTTAAATTTGTACAAAATATTATATACCTGATTTTCTTGATCTAGCCAATCAGCTTTATTTTTATAGTCCCGTATGTTCTGATTTATTCGATTTTCACTGCTGGCACGTTCATTTTCCAATTTTTTTTGTAATTTCATGATTTGCTAAAATTTAGTTTAATGATTAATAATAATGAATCAAAACGCAATATGAATTTGTATTGAAATATAAATACAGGTATTTAAAAAATTATAATGTGTTGTGTAAATTAAATCAAATTTTCATGGTAAAAGTATCTAAAATTAATAGAATAGGTTTTCTATTGCGAGTAGAATAATTATAATTACCCTAAATAATTCATGCAAATTATATAGGCATTACATGCATATAGCGGAGTAGTTACGGGGGTATGAGGTATGAAAACATCTAAGACAAATAATGCAGATGATATATTCAGAAGTATTATTTCATATTCAAATAAACACTTCAACAAAGCAATATTTTTAATATAGTTTATTTTATATAAATATTAATATTCTGATGTTTATATTTTTAGAAAGATACGATTGAATTTTCATAAACTTTTCTATAATTGTTATATATCTTGTTATCTTTTGTCAATTGTAATAATACTAATAATTACAAAAATATTAATGTTATAACTACCAATAATATGTTAAAAAGAAATGTATCAGATTAAAAATACTTCTGAAATTCCGTGCCGCTATTAAATATCAGGTAGGGACTGATATTTCGCGTTTTTAAAATATAGGATTATGCCGATATTTTCATTGTTTGGGCTTATTCTCAATCAGAGCAAATTTGAATTCATCCAAAGAAGCTGTTCTGAACAAAACAAATATTAAGATCCTTAATCATGATTAACTAACATACTTGGTTAGAGGCAACTCGACATTTTGTACCTTTCTTCATTCAACTCTTAAGACTCCTTGCAAGCTGGGTATCGGTTTTTCTTTGAAAAACTTTATTAATATATCACGCATTCTTCTTAAGTCTATTCCTATTATTAAATAACCTGCTTTTAAACAGAGTGTCAACCCGAACCCTAGTATTTTGGCTGTACCAGAACCCGGACCCTTTTTTAAAGTAGAGGGTCCAAGGGTTCTAGGTGTCATAAAAATTTGTAAAAATAAAAATATTTTTTTAAAAAATAATATAAATTTTATTAACTTTTTTTGTGGAATCATTTATTTTATCTTCGCGTTTTTCTTTCAATTTTCTTCCTGGACTTCTATTTTATTTAGAGATTGATATCATAAATTATTTTCTAGTGTAGATAATATTTTATTATGTAAATTTATTAATATGCTATATTATAGAAATACGTTGAATATTTTGAAAGTGAATTATTTTGTAGTGCAAGTAATAATATTTTAATTTAAATGACAATGCACAACACGCTGGTCCTCAGTTTTTATGATGCTAGAACGATTAAGTTTGAAAGATTTCTGTAATTATTTTATTATAGGAGCATGTGAAGCATTTTGTCAGAAGATGATTGGTGCCAACCAAAGGACCTTACTAGTGTATTAGTTCCTTTGAAAATAAATTATGTTTATTTGATTTTTATGGCATATGGATTAGATGCCGATTAGATATAGAAAAATTTAGAGTCCTTTTTATACGAAATATTAGAAAACATGAAAATTCGAGAGCAACAATATTTGCAATATAGTGTTGTATACACTTCTATATATTTAGGCCCTCGATATCAAGTTTTATTGAGTATTGAGCAAAAACAAATGGCTAAAGACCATCTTAAGGATTTATGACATACGCAAAACTCCATTATTTATATTGGAGGCTACGACAATACCTACTGCTTGTAGTGATAATAATAATTATGATAGCAACATTGATGATCTTGAAATTTTACTTTTAGATAGAGAAAAAAATATCAAATTATCGGATAGAAAGGAGGATCAAAAAATGCCTATTGTATCTTTAAAAGAAAAGTTCTCAGAAGTTAAGAGAATAAATAAGGATACAAATATTTTAAAATTCTGGAAGAAAATTCTTCAATATATCCATAATTATATATCTTATCTAGAATCTTCATGGCTGTACCGGCGACACAAATACAATAATTTTATAAAGATAACTATCTATTTTAAGTAAGGGTAGAACGTTTTTCATTTTGAAATATATATTGTCTAATTTAAGTGGAAATCTCAAGGATGATATTTTAGAAGATATTATGATTGTGCGATTGAATAAAACATAAATTACATTTGTAAATTATGAATATGTATATATTGAGAAGTATAATAAATAATAAATGAATTTAAAAAAATCTTATTTTGAGTCATTATTCTTATGTTCCCTGAACCTGGGTCCTTTTTCAATTTTATTCCTGTACACGAACCTGGGACCCTTTTTTTTGCCGAAGGGTTCACATCCCTGCTTTTAAACGTATATGAAACTGAAATCAAGATACTTACCTAAGAAATCCTAAATCTTAAGTTTGAAAAAATTGCTTGTGTCCAAGCTTCTCTTTCATCAAAATTTACAGGTCTTAATATCAGATCTCCCGATTTAGCTTTAACTACTTATATCTCAAACTGCTTATTAACAAAACCTACTATTAACACTCACTCTAACATGAATTATTAGTTCTACGCCGAGGCATTGACTATATGGAGATCTGTATCATACAAGACCCCTTTACCTGTCACTTGCAAACAAGAGAAATGATACATAGCAATCGTTTCCTGCTGCATCAAACCTCTACTATCAAGCATGCATTCCCTCGATCGTCTTTGTTTTCATCACTGCTAAATGGCTCAGGCACAAATTTATCCAAGCTATCCTTTTTTCAAACATTCAATACCTTGCATTGGCCATAGAGGGAGGCCAAATTGAAGCAAATAACATTGCCAATGCCAAAATTAGGGTCGGAGAAAATTAAGCAATTTTACAAATATAGTTATAGTAAACATAGAAATTGGTAAAACAATCAAAGCCATAATCGAAACGCCTTTATTTTATGCATGACTCCAAATGTAAGAATAACATATGTATGAAATGTTACCATCCACATAAGAAGATTTACCTGGCCTTGATATACCCTTGTACCATATACTAAGGTTCAGACATTTTGCAGCCCAATAAAGATCTCGAATTAATGATAATGAAAGAGGTAATAACTTAGATAATGTGATTAACAAGGTTTCAATTATGGTAATAATAAATTGGAAGCTTTAGAAAATTGTTTTTACAATACATTTAAACATCAATTAATGCATATCTGACAAAATGGGGTGGCATATATATTCCAACTTTTGATTTATCTATCCCAACCAAAGAATGTTTGAGAAATTGGTGTTCTGGATATATTTGTATTATCTTAGAAATCAGATATTTTCATAGCACTAAAGAAAAATCAATTTCTCTTTTTCCATATTATTCATAAAATAATATTATGTTTATCTTATAAAAAAACAAGGTATAACAATTTTAAATGTTCATCAGTAATTTGTGTATATTTAATTAAAATTAACAAGATGATATTTGCTAAGCATTTAGTATATTGAAATAGAAATATGATTCATAAAATAAACTCGCTCAAAAACTGGGCAGAAATTGCTGAAAGTCCAATAATGAAGGATATGGAGGGAGACACCCTGGGTTGAGCAAATTTTCAAAAAATGTATTCAAGTATACTTCAAAAAATTTTAATAATACAAGAACATTTAAAATTAGATAATTTATATAGATTTAATATAAACATAAACTTATTTTTTCCAAACAAAGAGTTTTACACATCAATTTTTAAATTTTCTAATTTATTACCTACTCATAATAAACCACATTAATTATGAAACATATATGGAATTTTTAGATTCTGATAAAATATCTACTTCTATCAATAAAAGTTTTCAGAATAAATTTAAAAGATTCATTGACCATAAAATAAATACAAATAGATATTTTTAACATTTAAGGAAAAGTTCTTTCCATTTTATAAATAAAATTTATCCAATAAATTTTTTTCTATCTCAGCCAGAATTTCCTAATAAAAATATGGGCATTGGGATTTAAATAAAAATTTCTATAAATGCAAATAGTATACTTGATTTAATTTATCTTTTTCATCCTTTGATTCCTTGAGAAATTTGTTGGATATATTTTTCTCAATGCCTTCAAGTTCATCCTTTAGTTCCTTGAATTCTTTTACCTTACATTTATAAGCCTAATAACAAAAAATATTTTTTTAAAACCTTTTAAAGGAAACTTTCTCAGTATCATTTAATTGATTAGATAAAGTTTTTTCCAAATGCTTATAAGTAATTTCCATGTTTACATTTTCTTGCTAATAAAAAATTATTAAATTTATTAATATGTAAAAAAAACAAAAACTTTTAAAGATTTAAGGGACTGGCAAAGATACTGTCTCATCTCTGTATCAGTAGACAATTTAAAATTAAGTAATAAATGTGTCAAATTCTTAAAAGCATTTGTTTCTATAATTTTTAATGTGAAAATGTTATTGGGAGGCATCTTTTGATCATTATTAAATTCCAATGTTAATGTATATCTAAATCTCAGTAAATACATTTAAATATAATAAACTGACTTTGGAGTATAATTTTCTTCTGTTTCTCTACACATATTTAATAATTCAATAACCTTTTGGGGAAAAGAATCAAAGTCAATTAATAAGCCTTGTTCATTTTTAATTCTTAGCAAATGAATTAATAATTTTATAAAATAATCAAACCTAATAAAATAATCTTCATCTATTAAAAGTTTATATATATCAAATGGTTCATTTTCCTGAATAATTTGTATAGTTATGTCCTGCATAATATTTATGTTTAATTAAAATTTATAAAAACTAACTTTTGGTAAAACGTGGTTTATTTTTATATTAATTAAAAATAACTGCCTATAATATATGTAATATTTTTATATAAAAAACTAATTCTAACTCATATTTATGTAACAATTTATCAAATTTTATCTTTAATTTTTGAGAATACAAAACAGTCATATGAAATCACTTGTTTAGTAAATTTAAAAATTCCGCGTTTAGTCGAGAAGGTTTTATATAAATAGATCCGATTGCATAGACAATGACATATTAGTTAAGACATGTTTGATTATTGTTAGTTACCAGTGGCCCCTACAACGGGTGGGGGAGGGGGGGGGGGGGGGGGGGGTCCGAAACAACTGCTTTAGTTAATTTGAGTGGGGGTACTTATTTTTTTTTAAATTTTTTTTTTAAATTTTCTTTATTAATTCTTTCACTGTTTTGTTACATCCATCATGATCAAGTGATTTCTGGTTTATAAGTGTAATAATAAGACCCCCCTCCCAACTTAATATTTAAATATATTGACGAAAATTTTGGTCGATGTTTAGTAAATTAGGTTGTTATCCGAGATTTCTTGTCATAAATTATTTTTCCAATTTTAAATGGTTTAGAGTGTAACTATAGGTTATAAATATTATTTATATTTTGAGGAAAATTTCATAACATACTTTTTTTTCTGAACTAATTTATTTTTTTATGTTTTTTTATTATATGACTTTCTCCTTTGTAATAAATTGTAGTATTTTTAATTGTAGATACAAATCTGAATGTACCTTCCACAAACACTTTGATAACTCAATCAAGTGCTGGTCAAAGTATAAATTTTTCACCAATTGTTTTTACTAAATTTAATTAATTTAGGCTCAAGTTTTCAACAAAATTTAGATCTGCATTCACTACCACTGAAAACCATATTTTACTTTTATTGTATTAAATGTTATATTGTAGATACAAATCTGAATGTACCTCCCACAAACACTTTCATAACTCAATCAAGTGCTGGTCAAAGTATAAATTTTTCACCAATTGTTTTTACTAAATTTAATTAATTTAGGCTCAAGTTTTCAACAAAATTTAGATGAAGCTGCATTCACTACCACTGAAAGTAAAGCCATATTTTACTTTTATTGTATTAAATTTTATATTGTAGATACAAATCTGAATGTACCTTCCACAAACACTTTGATAACTCAATCAAGTGCTGGTCAAAGTATAAATTTTTCACCAATTGTTTTTACTAAATTTAATTAATTTAGGCTCAAGTTTTCAACAAAATTTAGATGAAGCTGCATTCACTACCACTGAAAGTAAAGCCATATTTTACTTTTATTGTATTAAATGTTATATTGTAGATACAAATCTGAATGTACCTTCCACAAACACTTTGATAACTCAATCAAGTGCTGGTCAAAGTATAAATTTTTCACCAATTGTTTTTACAAAATTTAATTAATTTAGGCTCAAGTTTTCAACAAAATGTAAATGTAGATGCACAGGCTTGGTTCACTGACACTGAAAGTAGGGCCATATTTTACTTTTATTGTATTAAATGTTATTGTAGATACAAATCTGATTGTACCTTCCACAAACACTTCCTGTGCTGGTGAAAGTACAATAAATATTGCAAATGCTTTAATTGACTTACATCACAGTCATAGTAAAATAAAATTTAATGACTAATTATTATTTTTTAATTATTAAGGTCCTCAATTTATAAATAGCCAGAAAGGAAAACCTCTGTTATTTTATAACATGTTTTTATATAGAATTGATCACCATAAAGATTTGATTAGTTATTATAAGTGTAGAAATATTAGTTGCAAAGGAAGATGCAAATATGATGGTATTTATACGATGACTTGTGGGCATTGTCATCAACATGATACATATATATATGAAAAACTTAGTACTAAAGAGGTGATTGAAATTTTAGTGGCCAAAAATCCTCAGGTTTATGATAAGGCAATGCAGATTAGATTCTCGGAGTGCTTGGATATTGCAGAATATCCAGAGGCTATTCCATCATTTGTATCCTTCAAAACCACAATTGATAGGATATTAAAAAAGTATCGACCTGTGTTACCTTATGCTGTGGAGGAAATTATTTTAACCCCTGTTTACTTTAAATATGCGGGGGGAACAATTCCTAATTTATAGTGATAATAATAAATTAATAATGTTTGGAACAGCATCTATGCTGAGATTAGCAGAGAGAGAGCTGATAATATATATGGATGGAACATTTTATTCTGCTCCTAGCTTATATTATCAGCTCTATGTTATTCATGTAATGTTTCAAAAGGTCATGATACCTATTGTGTATGCTCTTTTGCCAAACAAAAATAAGGAGACATATACAAAGGTATTCAGAGTCCTTGTGGAATTTTGTGCAGAAAATAACATATGGTTTAATCCTTCTATTTCCCAGACGGATTATGAAATCGCCGCGATTTCAGCTCTTAAGGATGTATTTCCAACCATGTCCATAAAAGGTTCATTTAGTTTTTTAATATATTAATTATATATATATTTAGGATGTTATTTACACTACTCACAAGCTATATGGCGCAAATGCCAAACATTGGGGTTGTCTGGGTCATACATGGGACATTCGGATGTACATAAAGTAGTCCGAAAAATGAGCACCCTCCTATTCTGTAGGGAGGAACATGTAGCATTGCTACGTGATACTTGCTATCAAATGGCTGCCAATGATACCCTGCTCTCAAGCTTTATGATGTATATGGATACAATTTGGCTTGGGGATAGACCACTATTTCCTTATACATTATGGTCAAGGTATAAAAGATTCAAAATTATATATTATCTAATTTATATATTTTTAATTTAGGTATAGAGTAGCAGGACCTCGCACTAATAATCACTTAGAAGGGTTCCACCATGCCCTTAACCGAAAAATCTCTTACGCTCACCCTAATATTTATACATTATTAAAAATTTTAATAAATTACCAAAATATAAATGATCTAAAGCTTATTCAGATAAGTAATGGGTCAACTGTGAATCGTATTAATTACGCATATGAAATAAAGGATCGGAAGATCGCTAACAACCAATATTTATGAAGGAACCGAAGATGTTTTAACATTTTTGGGTGAAATTTCTAAAATTGTTAAATTAAAATGTTAGATTTATATTTTATTTATAAACATTATACTCGGCATATATATCGCAATTTGTTCAATTAAATATTCTTAATACGTATACCTTTATAAATGTCACCGTTTTATTTTTAAGTGCAAATATATAATGTAAACAATTAATCAAATAACTATCCATACAATTAAAATGTAAATAATAAATATTGGTGAGTTTTATATAAATTATTTATTCTGTTTCTATATGATTGTTTTATTATAATATTATATATTATCCAGTGCAAATAAAAATGATGAATCCTTCTATGGAATATATAAATAGTTTATATATATCGTGAATGTAAATGAGTTATTATTTAAAATATAAATAATTAAACAACCTAAATTCTCAGTTTTATGATAGTTTTACTTATAGGATGTGACTTTAAAAAGAAATATATATCAATAAGATATTTTTATATATCTTATTAATTACAGGTTTTAGAGACATATTATATTATGGGAAAAATTTAATACATATTTATTGCTCTAGATTAAATAATTTTTATAATATCTTTAAAAAATTAATATTAAACATAATATATTTAATTAAAAATATAATAAATATTTACTATATCAAAATATAAGATAATAGCATTATTATTAATATTTTAATAAAATATGTATTATTTAAATTTATGATTTTTTTAGTGGAGTCATACATAAATGGAAATGTTTTTTATTTTTTGCTATTGAGACTTTAAGTCTGATCTACCTTATCGAAACCATAAGCCTCAGAGTTGGTTTAAAAATTAATTTCAATAAAACGGTTATTCTTTCCTCGCCAAATACACCACCGCTCCAAAATCTTTTGTTAGGCGGGAACGTTATCAAAAAAGTAGATAATATCAAATACCTGGGTGTGATGCTTAATAACAAGGGGGAATGTAAAGAGGAAATGAAGATTAGAACGCAAAAAGCCAAAAGAGCGTTCTATATATACATGAAAATCTGGAAGTCTAAGGAAATATCGGTTTTTACGAGGTTGAGGCTATTCAACTCTACTGTTATATGGGAAGTTAACAAGACTGACTTAAGACGTATTCAATCCTTTATTAATAATTGTCTGAGAACTATAAATGGTATTTTTTATCCCAGAGTCATCTCTAACTCTAATCTCTGGAGGAAATCTAGCCACACTCCGATAAATATTACGTTAAAAAAACATCGGATACAGTTCCTAGCCCATATAAGAAATTCAGATCACAACCTTGCACATGATGCTATCGTTTGGTTATATACACATAAAGAGAAACAGTATACTAAATATAAATCGTTATGGTAATACAAAGCTATAAAAGACGTGATGGAGCTGAATGTAAACATGAAACAATTTATAAAGCTTAATAATTGCAAAAGGTCTATCAGAAAACTCTTTCGCATCAAAGATAGATATTTCAGATGAAATTTGTTCCTAGGGATCTCTAGTTCACATACCTTTTTCTTACTTTTCTTCCTCGATTTCTCTTGTGGATTTATTCCTCTCGAAAGTATTTTTCTTTTTTACCTCTAAAATAAATAAACTTACAGTAAAGCTTTTCAAGTTAAATTATCCACTTCCCACCTTTAAAGTAATTAATTTTAAAAGCAGTTCTTGGGTATAGGCTATTTTTTGGTCCCGCTCTTTTCCTCTAAGCCTATAGACGTTTTAATAACATTTCTTAGAAATGTTGTGCGTACAAGTACGTGCGGCTTGCCCACAAACGTGTGGAGGGCTCCTCATATTTTTTTCTCCCCCAAATTAATAAATTCCAATTAGATGGAAATGAGGAAAACCTAGCGTTGCTCTGTTGTATTTTCAACGTTAGAGGGCGAATGCGCTATATACATGTATCACGTATTTTGGTTTTTGCTGTTTCGTACCGAATTCTTTTAAAATATGCCTAAAAATATTAATTAAAAAAAATACAAATGCCTAATTAATAATTGCAAATTGCATAATATAAGAGATGATAAATGGATAGATCACATTAGAAAAAAAACATATGGGCCTAATTTTAACGATATAAAGAAAAGCTTTGAAATAGTAGCTTTTAAGAATGTTACTCAAAATTGGAAAAATAGCAAAGTAATTTTTTTATTAAATATTTAATTATATACTAAAAAAGAAGTAAAAATTGGGAATTCAATGCTGTTGGTATAATAAAATTTTTTAATTAATATAATTATCATTTAAAAGTGTCCTAATAATAAAGAAAATTTGTTAGAAGAAAATATAAAATCTGATGATTCTGATAATGATCAGAAATTAGTGAACCTGAGGTCATTTAATTACTCTTACTTTTTATCTCTGATATATTTTTTATAGGCAGACACACAGCGTCTACATGACAGGATTTTCATTGGATGCAAACGCCCTTAAAAACCTTTGCATACCCTCCTAAAAAATTCCGCTGGCTTCGGCGGCAGTGTCTCTTTATTATTATTTTCACCTTTATAATTATATTGATACTCTTTTCAGAGAATTTATAAGGATAACTTAAATTAATCTATCTCTACTACCAACTATCGATATTTTGTGAATATAAAGAATTTATTTTTTAGATAATAAATTTAATTAAAACCTCCATTATTTACAATGAATTAATTATTATGGCATTATGAGCTTGTTGATTTGGAAAACAATGTGTATGATTGTTTGCAATATATAGATTTGGTCAATAATTGTATTATAATAATTCGATAATAAATTTAATTAAAACCTCCATTATTTACAATGAATTAATTATTATGGCATTATGAGCTTGTTGATTTGGAAAACAATGTGTATGATTGTTTGCAATATATAGATTTGGTCAATAATTGTATTATAATAATTCTATAAAAAAAGTATTAATTTTTACAGAAAAAAATTGTGTCCTATTTCATCTCAAAATTTAATAGATAACCCCCCAAAAAATTTATCCTACCCACATTAAAGCAGCCTACCCCCTCAAAAAAATAGGATGCAAATTGTTCCTACCCCTCCCGCTCATGTAGACGCTCCAGACACAGAGCAGACATTTGATAAAGTAGAACAATAAATTCCTATTATCTTTCTACTGGTAATAAATATTAATTTAGCTTTATTACATTTTAACAACATATGCAGTTTAACGAAAGATTTAATAATGATTCGATGAAATTTTTACATATCATTATTTATGCCAAAGGGAATGGCAGAAAAATCAATTATTAAAGAAGATATCGAGGATATCTGTGAATTTTACAATTTAAATTCAAGTCAAATTTTCGAAGAAATGTAGAAGTTTAGAAATATTTACAAGATGGCCAAAATGGGGAATGTAATTATTACTCATGACCTAGAGGTTCAAGAATCTAAAGATTTGTCAGATTCTGAGAATTGTAAATTTATTTAATTAAAATATTTTTACCAATACATTATTTAGCTTCTTCTGATGATGATGATAATTCAGGGACTTACGATTCAGATTGGAAAAACTATTCATTTATTTTACCTTATTGTCTACTTTTAAATTTTTCTGCTTTCCCTAATTTAAGAATTTTATATAAATATTTATTAATCATTCTTACAACCTCATGTACTGCCAAAAGAGTCATGAGTAAAATTAAATTAATTAATACAATACTTCGTAGTACCATGAAAGATTCATTTCTCAATAATTTAACCATATTATCAATGGAAAAAAATTTATTTAGACAATTAAATATTGATGAAATTATAAATTCTTTCGCTTTCTCTTCCCCTAATTTATCTAAATTATCAATTTAAAAATAATATTTATAAAGTATATATTTTTTGCATTTTATTTATATTATATATTAAAAATTGATGCAATAAAAATTATTTTTGAAATTTATGTGTGTCATAAAATAATTATCATTTTTTCGAGGGGGTGAGGGTACTTTTCAGGGAGGTATTCTGCTTCATTCACTCAGAAAGTGTAGGGGCCACTGTTAGTTAATACCCAGGGACGACACAGCCTTTACAATCTCAGGGGGCTCAATAAAAGTTTTCTTAAATGATTTTCAAAATTATCTGTGAACATTACTAAACCTCTTTTCTCTCGCTGGTTAGAGATTATTAAGGTGAAAAACATTAATGCGACTACCACCATTATGGTATTAAATAATATATTTTCCAGATTTGGGTATCCAGTAGAATTGGTATGAGATAATGGACCAGCTTTTAGGTCTGTTGATTTTAATAACTTTTTAAAAGAAAAGGGAATTCTACATATATATACTCCTGCATACCATCCTGCGTCAAATGGTATGGCTGAAAGAGCTGTACGATCAGCAAAAAATATGATATATAAATTAGGAGGTTGGGATGACATTTTGGAAGATGTGTTGTTAAATTATCGCAACACGAAACCTGCGATTACTAAGTCATCACCTGCTTTTAGATTATTCGGAAAGGAGTTAAGATGGAAATGGAGTTTTTTAAAAGACGATGACTGTGATAATAGACCCAATGTAAAAAGAATAAATTTCAGAGAATTAACATTAGGCAACTCTGTCTTTATTAAAGTGGGCTCCAATCAAGAATGGCGTGTGGGGATTGTCGTTGGGAGAATTAGTAACGTCATTTGAGAAATTCAGGTAGATGATAATTTCTCTTTGTTCATATTGATCACATTAGAAATTATCAATAGGAATATATTGCATTATATTTTTTTAACTTTTATATTGTTGGTTACAAATATTAAAGCATCATACATATTCCATTTTTCCTAGTTATTATAATTATGATTAATAAGTTACATTGTTAATAATGACAATGACAATAATTCCCCCTACCAAATGTAATTGTTTATTATATTCCAAAAAAAGGAAATAATGACAATAATTCCCCCTTCCCAATTGTAATTGTTTATTATATTCCAAAATAAGGAAATAATGACAATAATTCCCCTCCCAAATGTAATATTTTATTATATTCCAAGATAAGGAAATAATGACAATAATTCCCCTTTCCAATTGTAATTGTTTATTATATTCCAATATTAGGAAATAATGACAATAATTCCCCCTTCCCAATTGTAGTTCCTACTATCCCCATATATATATTAATTTTTATATAATTCCTTGTTAATCTTAATGTAAGTATTGGGTATTATTTTAATAATGAAACCATTATTGTAACATTAAATATTAACCATATTACTCATTTAACATTATAAGAGTTACCTCCATCCAAACGAGTTCTTTCCTTCCCCATT